AGAGAGAGAGAGAGAGAGAGAGAGAGAGAGAGAGAGAGAGAGAGAGAGAGAGAGAGAGAGAGTTCTTCTTCTTCCTCTTCTAAGTCCACCATCTCCTCCTCCCCCTCTCGCTACYTGACTTCTCAGTATCTGCAGACTACGAGAGAGAGAGATATTGGTGACTTTGGGACTTGACAACATTTGGGTCCAGACTCGACATTGGGATTCAGACATTTGACGAGGGATTATTTGGGACCTGTACTGAAGACTTGGTCTTGACGACATTCCCATCTTCCCCTCTTCTTCGTCTAACCCCCCTCTTCTTCGTCTGTGTATGGTTGGGGACTGGCGCATTCTTCCTGTGTGAGCGCCAGGCCCCTTCTCACCATGGAATGATGATGATGTATGTCCGGTCTACATGGCCACACTGATTGTTCGGATCATTGGTATTTAAGCCTTCCGCTGTGCTATCTTGTACTATGTGAGAGAGGTCGGTTCTTGTTCTGGTATGCACTTTTACGGTATGCGACATGGGGAGTCCACACCGGAGGGGAAGTAAGCAAGGCTTCGGAGCCCCGACCGCTGTACCTACGTACGGGGACTGCGGTGATTCACTAGATCGACGTGGGATACCGGTCGTACTCGCGGGTAGCGAGGAAGTCTTCAAGATAGCACTTGGCAAGGGGTACCTCCAGGAAGCGTGGGTGAGGAGTCTACCAGTGGACGAACAAGAGTAGAGTGATACACTACAGGGAGGGAGGACGGAACGACATGGAGCAAGTGGAGCAGGAGAGATTGCGGCTAATGCAAATTCTATGAAGGGCATAGTTTCTGCACAGGCCCATTGACGGGCCGGGGTTGGTGGAATATGCCACGGCGAATGGCATATGCGACCTACGAACGAGGTCATGTATTTGCAGAACATGTACGTGAGAGCACATGCAGTGGCATGCAAACTACCGGAGGGTGCGAGTAGCTGGACTCGCAAAACCAAACGCGACTGGGTTAGGCAGATGGAGGAGGTCTGCACGTTGGGAAGGGGGCCGGCGAGGGGAGAGGATACAGAGGGGGACACAATAGTTACGTATCTGGTGCCGACTGTTGAGCTGAGGGACTGGATGGTCAATGTCGGGTGAACAGAGAAAATACAGGTGGTGGGGGTGAATGGGGAGGTAAACCTGCTGCCATGGAAGCTGCCAGCGGAAATTTATGCAGCAAGGGCGGCTGACAGGAAACGATGGCCGTGGGTAAAGGTTTATAAGCCATCCCAGCTGGCAAGGGGAGGTGGAATTTTTCTACCGGCCAATTGTTGAAGAACAGAGATCCGATACCAGTGCGATCAGACTTGTCTCAATTTCACTTGCAACATGCATACATGTAGGTGCTGATGGCATAACAGCTTCAACAACGCAGAATCAGTAACAAGCTTGCGATGGCACCCTGTGCCTACAAAGGAAACTCAGAAATATGGCCTCGGCCAGGAACCCAGCTTAAGTCAACTTGTCCCATCTAGTGGCTATGGCCGCTGAGCGCTAGTCTGAACTCCCACTCGAGCAATGTCTCCACCATCAGACACTCACACAACCCCCGCACATGCACACACGCATAGGATCTACCCTGAATGTCCATGCACACACACACACACTACACTCTAAATGTTGACGTCAGCAGATGGGCGGCTACAGCCGCCATCGTCTTCCTCCTCCACTAGCGGCTATGGCCACTCGCCGTCTTCTTAGTCGAGCACCTGCAGACCTCCAACGCACAAGTCGCATAAGCAGCGCTTCCGCATGGCTCGCAGGCGAACGGATGAATGGCTCGGCGCTGCCCCTTTATTTATACTGCTTCGTCGGTGGTCTGATCTGCCTTCGGTCCAAAGCCCAAGTAGTGTGCGGCCCCACCTGGTACTTGCTGACTGGACAAGGTGGACTGGGACTGAGACTGCTGACTAGACTAGGACTAGACTGACCCTTGCTGACTCAGCTACGGACAACTGACTCCTATGGTTCCGAAGAGTCAGGTAGCGACTTCCAGAAACTCCTAGTCTACGTTAGACTGTCCCTTGGCTACACTTAGCGCTAACCTACAAGACTGACCCTAGGACTGCTAAAACTAAGGGCTACGGTTCAAGTCCACGCGACCCAACTATACACATGAGACCCAAACGCTTGTGTCTGGGGACAGGTCACGAGTTCAAGGCACACAGGGTCAACGGGTAGCTGTACAGGGGTTCAGGGATAGGTCTAGGGATCAAGCCCTAGGTCTCTAATTGTCCTGCGAACTGGGTGAAACCCTTTCAATTGTCAAGTCAGTGCAAGAGCACAAGAACATCAAAACTGACGTTGAAAAATTCTCCATCCTTGGCCTGAGCAAGGACATGACGATGGTGGTCTTCAAGGACACCAACCATGCCACACATATAGTTGAGAAATGTGAAACCTTGAACCACAATGGCTCAGTCTGTTCCCTCTCATGGTGTCATCTGGAGACAGCACAGACAGCCGATGTCTCTCCGACCACTCCCTACAAACAGCGCCTGTTGAGAGAACAATTCTGGGTTTAATCCGACAACATCCCGATCAGGGGACACTCACTGATTAAGGATCGCCTAGAAGTAGAGTATCCGGCCAACAGAGTTGTGAAATGGGTCCTACCCACGCCGGACTTCCTTGCCCCCCACTGGAATTCAATCATCGCGATATTGGAGGTTCACACAGATGACCCCCCAATCTTCCCAGAGACACGGGAATGTGTTATTGGAGACGAGTCCTCCACGATCACAGTCTCAATGAAAACCTCCCCCATCTACTTCAGATGCAGGGAGCGAGGTCACTTGGGCATCGATCCTAAGTGCCCACGCTCCCAAAACCAGAAAAGAGGAAAGAAACTGAGACAAAACATGTTGGTAGAGGTGGAAGAAGCTAAAGGGATATGGTTCATCAACGAAGTCCTCGATGACAATATCCCCGACCCTAAATGGATCTGGGCATACACCAACACGACCCCAACATCCAAGCAGACTGACATTTTTCCACCATCAGACAGCAAGTGGCACTCAGTTGGAGAAAAAAGTCACCAGCCTCCCAGGGAAATTCCACTCAGACCCAGTGATTGACTCCCGGGCAGGGTAGCATAGTTGCCGACCGCCGACCCCAACCGCCAACCGTTTTGCAGCTGACCAGTAGTCCCGACCGGTCGGCGGTCTGCCGACCAGTCAGAAAACAGCCATCCACTACTTTTTTTTCAGATGAGTTGGAAGCTGTACTGCGCTTGCTGAGTACAGCCCAAA